AAAAGCGCGCTTGACGAGGCAGCTGTGGCTTGGTTTAATCTGAAATAAAATGATTGGACACTTTTTCTTCTTCAATATTTCTTTCCAGGAGCATGGTTGCGCTATAAGCACCCGAAATTCTACGGCTCTAGCAAATTTAACCAAGATCCTGCGCGGTGTTCACTCGAAAACGTAACGCACAACTAAATTCGGTCCGAGCAGGTCATTTTTAGCGTACGCTATACTGTTGCGTATTGCGTACGTAAGATCCAGCAACGCTATACTAAAACTGTCTAATCACCGCAACTTACGGAGGCAGCTCAGCGAGTGACACAACCGAAACATATGTTAAGACCAAAAAACGCAGTCTGAGTTGTGACATTAAGCAATGCAAGCGTGACGTTTTGCATTGTTTAATCTCACAACTCAGACTGCGTTTTTCGGTCTAAACTTATGTTTCGGCATTGTCATTCGCTGAGCTGCCTCCGTAAGTTGCGGTGATTGGCTCTCCGAGTGTTGTGCGGGAAAGCACACTTACAAACAATTTTTAGAGTGCGGCTCCACCGTTCCACGCCCCAGGTCACCGCGTTGTACGCCGCAGGTCAAAAGAAAGGAGCGAAAAGCGGAGTGATTGCTTTCGCATTCGCAACTCATATGAAGTGCTTAGGTGTATTTCGATCCTTTTTGTTAACGCAGTCATATCCTATAAAAAAAAAAAACCGCAGGCCTTCAGGTGAATTTTCTGAGGGTGGATGTTTGGGCCAGTTTGGTATTCATCACGTAGAGAAGAGCGCAAAAATAAACTTCTTCCCACTTTAAATACACACACACACCGGGAACAAAAATTACTCACGTCGCTGTAACTAGCTAACTGTTAGCGCGATGTGAGTAATCTTTCTTCCGGTGTGCGCGTACCTCCAGTTTGAGTTTAATTTAGCGCTATTTTCCACTGGTGAATGATAAGCACAACAAAGCAAAACAGAGAAATAAAACAAAACGGACAAAACTTTTTTTTTATTCTTCCTCTCTCTCGGGTTAATTATAGATGTTTTGTTTTTCAGAATGATAGCTGTACACAGTAATTAAGCTAGAGAAGTGCGGAAAGGCAAATTATCAGGGCTCAGGAAATTGAGGCGCAGTGTGAGAACAATACGTGCACAACGATGCCGGAAAAGATTAAGTTGCTTTTAAGCCAATGTCTCTATCGCTCCCTCGCTCCCAATGGCGTATTGCTCGGCAAGAGGGATGTTTTATAACCAATAATTATCACAAAAAGACGTTCCACGGAATGATACCACGTGACAATACAGTTTATAGTAACATTGTAATGTATACGGAACCAAACTCTCACAGAAAGGATTGCCTACAAATGCAATACCGTACAGTTGAGAAAATTGTCTGCCTTCCTAAATCAAACAACAAGAAAGCAGACAGGTGCAGGTTACTCCCAAAAAGTAACCAGATACGTTACTCGTTACCTAACCGTAGAACGAATTTTACCTCAAAAGTAAAGAGTAGTCATTTTATTGACCAAATACATAACAGCTTTTGTTTCATACTTTATTGTTTTCTTTTCGGTAGTCTTTGCACGTAAGCGGTAGCTTGGCCTCGAAGTTTTCATCAGTTATGTTCCCCCGCTTCCTTGAGAATACATCTCTGGGAACGCCGGAGTCGTTCTACTGACGCGTTCAAAGAGACGGCAGTGTTCTGCTTAGGAAGAACTGGTGAATTTGTGTTTCCCCTCTCTGGTTTGTCCTGTCTGCCTCTAGAGTTCCAATAGGTTGACAAGGGGTTCTGTGCCTTGCCGTGTTGGCAGCCTCTGGGTTGACATTTGTCTGTACACAATTAACTAAAAGGTTCAACCTTTTAGAAGGCTGAAGGACACTCCTAGGCTCTAATGTCATACTGCGGTGTTCAGCAATAAACACTGCCATATTGTCATACTGTTTTATTGTTTTTCGGGTGGCCCATCTGCCTTTGTCCCGATATATGCATACTCAGGTTGGAATTAAAACGAGACTGTTTAAACGGCGTTCTACACGTAACTCCTCAAAAGGAACGAAATACCGTTACTCGTTACTTGGCCTCCAAAGTAACTAAGCAGTTCACTCGTTCCTTTTGTTAATAAGGTAACTTAAAAGGTTACTTGTTACCAACAAAGTAACTACGTTGAAGTAACTCGTCTCTAGTAACGCGTTACGTACGTGTTTGCATAAAACTTTGTTGGAGGGAATAAAAACGACTGGGGAAATAAGTTTGGAAGAGTTGATACGTACATTAATATTCTATGTATGAATATGAACGCTAATCATTTGTATCACTTGTCAAATTGCAGGATTTGTTTGACAAATGACTATCTTGAACCACAACAAAAACATCAACAGGACACCAACACACCCTTCCTAGGCTGATAGCTCCGGCAAAAAACAAAAACCCCAATTTAAAAAAAAAGGGGACGCGTGAGTTTAGTTTGAAACCTACGCTGTTAATTGCACCATTGCGCTCGCCTAGCGCCCGATACGAAGAGCGAATGGCATTAAAATAGCTCACCTGTTAAAGGAATCCCTGCAGTCAAGCCACCGCCACAAGTAAATTTGGATACTACCCAGGCCCGTACGGAAATCATTACAAGTAATCAACTTACTTGTAACCGATTACGTTTGGAGTCACTTTGTAATCATTTCAATACATTTGTTATGAACATATCGCAAGAGTAATTTGGTTACCTTTAGAGTACTGAAATTACTTGTGACCGTTGCTATTCTCCCTACCTTTTTCTAAGGGTGCCCTTCGTTTTCACAAGTTTTCTACCAAGAAATTATCGAACCAAGTCTTTGACAGAAGAAGTGTGTACGAACATTGGGGAATGAAGAAGATAAGCGGTTCATAATTCGGTGATTCTAATTAAATAATGGAGAGTACGGCCCCGTCTTTAAACGGGCAGAAAAACCTGTCATTTTGGAAAATTCTGAAGTAATCGGAAAAGTAACGGCTGTGCTTCAAGTAACGGCCAATTAACTTTCCTTCCCAAGTAATCGAGTAATCTAATTGAATATTTGCTAAGCAAGAGTAAGTGTAATGGTCATTGTAATGTATTACTTTTTTCCGCCGAGTAACGTGGACATTGACTGGTACTACCACCTCAGACAACGGCCGATTGATGCCTCTCGACATCGCTGGACACTTTATGAAGTATCTCAAGCCCGAGCCAAAAGAAAAAAAAAGGAAAAACCGTTGCATAAAAAAAAAGTTACAGACAAACACGCACACGTGTCATGGGAAGGAGAAAGCCACAAACGCTGCATAGCGAAAAGCACTTTCGGAAGCCGACAGCGCGTTATGTAAGCGAAGACGTCATCGTCGTGCTTGTGCGCGCCGGTAACTTTGATGCATATTCTCTTCTAAACGCGTCTCGACGTGTCTTTCTAGACACGCGAATCTCGCAAACACAAGGAAAGACGCCCGAAAGGAAACGATTGAACATCCGTATATATATATATATATATATATATATATATATATATATATATATATATATACAACACGGGCACTTCACACCATCGTATGTGGTCTCCGAGAAGGATATAAACGAAAATGTGCAGATGAATGAACCGTACTTAATCCAATGAATCAAAGAATTGAAGTTTTCAGACTTGGCTTTCCTTGTTCCTGTTCCTAGCACTGCAAATATATATATATATATATATATATATATATATATATATATATATATATATATATATATATATATATATTATATACCCGGATAAGAACTGCCCTACGCTTCCCTCTCTCGAAAGCTTCAACCGTCACCCCTCCGAAATTTGGACTCGACCGTAGCATTGTATAAATACCACCCGCGTTCATCTGTAAAAGTTCTTCCTGACGAAGGCCGGACTCCGGCCGAAACGTCGAAGATTAAATCGTCCGTTGTTGCTGTTTTTCACTAAGGGTTTTTTTCTTCTCAGTTTTATATATATATATATATATATATATATATATATATAACTCGAACTTACACAAAGGCGTGAATTTAAAATTACGTTTCGTAGTATTCTGTTTACGGCGCTGGACCACTTCTACGCCACAAACAGCCGACTGTCCGGAAAGAAAGAAGTCAAAAAAAAAAAAAGAGGACAACCCCAAAGAAAAGTCCAACTTCTAGGATTGGCTCCTCCTTCTGCCGTTGGTAACGTCATGCCTCAAAGCGCCACGAACTTCCCTCTAGGTGGCGTTGAAGTAACACGGAGGTCCTCGAGAAAGAGGTTCGGCTGCCACTGGCGTCCAATCAACGAAGAAACGTGCATGCGTTGGGGTTCAGTTCGCAGTCGATCTGTTGACGTCCGTTGCTGATACTTAATTGGATATCGTTAGGTGCGAGCCATATAACATATTTTGTGTTCAAACACAAAAGAAGAACATTTTCTCGGATGACACAACACAGCTATGTACAGCCGGTGACACAACGACGCGGAATAAATAAGGGAAAAGACACTTCAAATAAAGAAAATACCATTTTGTTAAAACAGCTGAGACTGGCACGGCCGCGATCGTCAGTATATTAATGACCACGATTAATTTAGAGTGGCACGGCAACCGTCCCAAGCAGCACGGATATCGGCCAAGCATTGACCAATGGCTGGCGATGGTCCTTTGGCCAATGTCTAAAGAGTGGCCATTCATCGGCCAATGGTTGATAGATGGTTAATGGCCAGCGGTCATTGGCCAATGGAGTGAGCAGGGCCAGTCATTGGACGATGCCTGAGCTCTGCCTGGCCAATGGCAAAAGTACCATCGCCAATGATTGGCCAAATCTGTGCTGCTTGGGGTGTGACTTTGTTTTTTCTCCTCATGCTGTTCTGTAACGCGATGCTCGTCCCATGGAACGCCACTAGACACTGCGCTTTAGAGGGTTCAACCGCCGTATATGCAGCCATCCAACCGCATGGTTTGACCCCACTAACGATGTCGCCAAGCGCAGGAGTTGTCTGCTCGCCCCTAACTCGGCCCTCGCGGCTCACCTTGACGAGCAGGATCCAGATCTCGAGCTCGGCCAACCGCCTGCCGAGGCACATGCGCGCCCCGAAGCTGAAGGGAAGGGAGGCGAACGGGTGCAGCACCCACTCCTGGCGGCCTTGGTCGTCCCGTTTCAGCCAGCGCTCCGGCAGGAACTCATCGGCGCGGGTGAAGTTATCCTCCAGCCGGCTGGCCACGTAGTTCTCGGTGAACAGCGGGGTCTGCGAGAAATCGAGACACCACGTCGCCATCGTCCGACATCGCACGACTCGATGGATTGGTCGGTTTCGCGGGGAACGACGAGAGCCACCGACTGTTCCGAGAGTCGCGTCGTGATCGGGGGTCTCCCTAAAGGCCCGTTTACAAACTCGCGACTTCTGAGGACCGCGTGCCTGGAAACCACTTAAAATCTCTTGCGAGAGATTATATCATCTGTAGAAACAGATGATGTGATAACCGACGACGCAGAGCGCGCGCGCGCTATCGTGGATCCATGTTGGTTTCCCAGTTTTCGAAATTTGTTTTCGTGAAATTCGGAGGGTGATTTTTTTAGTTTATTTTCTTGCATAAAAGTCGGGGTTTATAGAAATGTATTATTTTTAGACTCCCAAGTCTCCGAAATTTGGAATTTAATGTTAGTAACAGTAAGAAAGCACAAATCCAGCAGGAGGACGAAAACATACATGTACGAGCTTTCCTCCTGCTCGTTATTTGCTTTCTCAATTTTACATCCATTCCAACACGCGCGTCAAAATCTTAATGTTAATGTTCTCAATTATTTTAAATTAAAAAAGCCGCATCTCCACGTGGTGAATGATGTTGATTGGGGCGAAACTCTGGTGGTGCTTGATTACACACACCACAGCGCACTATAGCAAACAACACTCACACCTTACACACGAAAAATAAAGCAAAATTCAAACAAACCGCGCTGACTGACAACTCTTTTTATATAACTTTGTCTTCTTCAACCTCTAGCACCACCGAATTTCCCAAATCACGCGCACCGATCTCCTAGATGCCTAAAAATGTTTTCTCTTTTTCTGTCAGATGTAAAGATGGTGTACTTATACAGTTGTTATAGTTTCTGGCGATATGTTCTGCTTCGATAATTTCTCGAGTTAATTGGTTTCTGTAACTACCTAAAATTGTACAGGATGGCAAGTGAACGTCGCACCCACAATCCCGGCAGTGTATGCCTAGATGCCCTGAGTTGGCTCTGGAGCTGTCGTTGTTGTGTTCCCGGAGCCTATCATTAAGGCATCGTCCGGTCTGACCAATGTACACTTTCCCGCACGAAAGGGGAAATGAGTACACCACTTCATCGGCACACTCAACGAACCTGTTCTGGTGGTTTTTGGTGCAGCATACTGTTCGGTGGAAATCAGGTGAGTTGACTTGTTTACACAAGTTACCAAGCTTATTGGGAGCAGTAAAGACGACATTGATGTTGAACGGTGAGCCGCAGCATGCCGAGCCTTTCGTTCGTTTTCATCGATGTCACGCTGCGGCCGAATGCTCGAAAGCGTATATAACCACGTTCCACACCACACATTCTCTTTCTGACATGGATGAAAACGAACGAAGGGCTCGGCATGCTGCGGCTCAGCGTCTACGCAGACAAGCACCACCAGAGCTTCGCCCCAATCAACATCATTCACCCCGTGGAGATGCGGTTTTTTAGAGCGCAGCTCTTAGGGGCCCGTTCCCGGCTTGAGCGGCGTCGCCGTCGCCGTCGGCGTCGGCGTCGCCGTCGGCGTAACCAAGGTCATCCCAAGGTCACTTGACCCCCAAGGTCATCCCAAGGTCACGTGACCCCAAGGTCACCCCAAGGTCACGTGACCCCTCCCCCAGTTTCACGTGACCCCCAAGGTCACGTGACACCCAAAGTCACGTGGCTCCCCAAGTCACGTGACCCCCGTGGTCACGTGACCCCCCCGATAACGTCATCAGTGACGTCACTGATGACGTCACCGGCATCAGCATCGTCAGCGTCATCATCACTGATGACGTCATCAGTGACGTCACTGATGACGTCACCGGCATCCGCATCGTCATCGTCATCATCACTTATGACGTCACCGGCATCCGCATCGTCATTGCCATCATCACTGATGACGTCATCAGTGACGTCACTGACGTCACCGGCATCCGCATCGTCATCGTCACTGATGATGTTACCGGCATCCGCATCGTCATCGTCATCATCGCTGATGACGTCATCAGTGACGTCACTAATGACGTCAGCGGCATCCGCATCGTCATCGTCATCATCACTGACGTCATCAGTGACGTCACTGATGACGTCATCGGTATCCGTATCGTCATCGTTACTGATGACGTCATCGTCATCGTCACGTGACCCCCCTAGGTCACGTGACCCCCACCCAAGGTCACTTCACCCCCCCCCCAGTACCCTTCCCTACTTCTCCTCAAGAGCTGCGCTCTAATTCGGCGTTACAGGGAGTTGTAAACGGCTTTCACTTTTTAGAGCGCAGCTCTTAGGGGCCCGTTTGCGGCTTGAGCGGCGTCGCCGTCGGCGTCGCCGTCGCCGTCGCCGTCGGCGTCGGCGTAACCGCGCGGTGCATCATGGGAAATGTCCCATAATGCACCGCGCGAGCCCCCCACCGGGGTCACGTGACCTCGTGGGGGGCACGTGACCCCGGTGCATCATGGGAAATGTCCCATAATGCACCGCGCGAGCCCCCCACCGGGGTCACGTGACCTCGTGGGGGGCACGTGACCCCCCGAGGTCACGTGACCCCCCAAGTCACGTGACTCCCCTGATGTCATGTGACCCCCCTCCTCCCCCTCCTCAAGGTCACGTGACCCCCCGAGGTCACGTGACCCCCGCCGATGTCGCGTGACCCCCCGATGACGTCATCCTCACTGATGACGTCACCGGCATCCACATCGTCATCGTCATCATCACTGATGACGTCACCGGCATCCACATCGTCATCGTCATCATCACTGATGACGTCACCGGCATCCACATCGTCATCATCACTGATGACGTCACCGGCATCCACATCGTCATCGTCATCATCACTGATGACGTCACCGGTATCCGCATCGTCATCGTCATCATCACTGATGACGTCACCGGCATCCACATCGTCATCATCACTGATGACGTCACCGGCATCCGCATCGTCATCGTCATCATCACTGATGACGTCACCGGCATCCACATCGTCATCGTCATCATCACTGATGACGTCACCGGCATCCACATCGTCATCATCATTGATGACGTCACCGGCATCCGCATCGTCATCGTCATCATCACTGATGACGTTACCGACATCCGCATCGTCATCGTCATCATCACTGATGACATCATCAGTGACGTCACTGATGTCGTCACCGGCATCCGCATCGTCATCATCACTCATCACTCGCTGATGACGTCATCATCACTGATGACGTCATCAGCGACGTCACTGATGACGTCACCGACATTCGCATCGTCATCGTCATCATCACTGGTGAAGTCATCAGTGACGTCACTAATGACGTCATCAGTGACGTCAGTGATGACATCATCGGCACTGGGGGTCACGTGACCCCCAAGGTCACGTGACCCCCCACTGGTTAGTTTAACCCCCCCCCCCCCCCCCAGTGCCCTTCCCTCCTCCTCCTCAAGAGCTGCGCTCTAATTCGGTGTTACAGGGAGTTGTAAGCGGCTTTCATTTTTTTTCCCTACACGAGCAGGGGAGCACGTGCTCACGTGCTTGTGAGCACGTGAGCGCGTGCACTCCCGAGCGGGAGCACAATCCCCCGACGCCGGACATCGGACGGACATACGAACATGGCTAGCCCCTAAGGAGCTTCGCCCCTAATATAAAAACATCCGGACACAAACATAAACTAAATTCATCAGAACTCACATGTACCACATGATATTTCTGCAGCTGCGTATGGCATTGACGCTTTGCCATTGGCTATATTGTCACCAATAGAAAAGAGCTCGACAAATGTAAACTGAAAATAAAGGTTCAGTTGGCGACCTTGTGCCAAACAAAATAAAGGAGACAGACACAAACGACAGCGACAAGCCTCAAACCAGAGTCTTTCGCGATTTGAGAGGCTTTGTAGAAAAAAGGAAGCTATGCTTAAACACGAGCATCATGCACGTGAGGGTATTTTTGACAGGCTTGCAATCGCTCGTGCTTACTTCACGAGCACCGAACGACTAAACGCCTGCCAAAGGTACCATCGTCAGCATGCTGCATGGGTTTGAGGCTTGTCGCTGTCTTTTGTTTCTGTCTGTCGCTCTAGTGGGACACGGCCATACGAAGCACACAAATAGTATGCTCCAAACTGGAGTCCTAAACAATGGCTTTCGTCGTGACCCAGAAGTACCATGACCCGTTGTCCTAAACGAACATTGACGAGCTAAAAGCGAATCCCCCTTTTGTCAGTATACTCCGAGATTTCAAAGGAAACTAATGTCGCGTCTCCTGAGGAACTCAGACTTTGTTTTTCTACGAAATGTCTTTAAAAAAAAGGAAAAAAAAAAACGTCTTTTTTGTTTTTATTATGTATTGGTGATCTCGAAATTTGAAGTTGTTAGGGTAAATCCGAGTTGACAAAAATACTGCCGGCGAGCGTTTTGAGCATTTGTTTTTTCGGATTTATGCAAAAAGACGCAACCCTAATCATATGCTATTTCGGCCGATCCAAGCGGCGCTACCGTCGACACGCGAGTGCGAAAGAGCAAAATACTAATAATGATAATAATAATATTAAAGTCGTGTTATGGGTGAGGAGGAGGAAAGAGGGAGGCAGTGGACGCCAGAAGCCCACCCAGGCAGCACGCAGTATTGCGCCAATATTGGCGTTGGATCGGAGAAATCGGGCCAATACTATTCTGATACTGCCGATATTGGCGCTGTATTGCAAGATCGGGCCAGTATTACCGTGATATGGCCGATGTCGCGGAACATCACTTGGGTCGGACAACGTCACGCTGATAGACAGTATCCTCCGTTGTTTTCGGGTAATTTGTCGGGTCTGAACCGGCTATATCGGCCGGTATTAGGAATTCTCGACCGTTTCCAAAACGATACTGAATCGCGATCAATGGCGTCGGCCAATCGCGGCGGCCGCCGCTGTTGCCACGGGCCGCGCCGAGGGCGCGCCAGGCAATCAGTGGCTGGAACAGGGATTTTCCGTACAAACAAAAAGAAAACACGTTTTGTAGTAACTTTTATTGGAGATTAGAACAAAACTGGGGGCGCGAGATGTTTTCTAAAATCTTTAGTTTACAAGGTTTGCGGCACAATTAATAATTTTTTACACAACCAAGTCTCAGCGGTGATTTCAGGTAGCGCGTCGCGACCTATAGGCGCATCCTAACTTCGGCAGTAATTCGCGGCGCATCCGCCTGGGAGTCGGGGGTGGCACCCTTGAAGCCCCTTCCACCGTATCTGTTTCGGAGCCAAAATGGCCGATTAAAGCCAAAATAGAAGTCACGTGCAGTTCCTCGAGTGGCCGGTGCGGGAGAAATGGCGGTGATGCGATCGCTACTAGGTCGGTTCTCGAGTACGGATCGGTGTCACTTCTTCAGAGCAGGCTCTATGGCAGTTTCCTAACTGATCGGTTAAATCTATAGTAACGTTGGCTTGGCCTAAGTCCGCTGACACCGCAGCGGCCGCGGCCATGATAACCAATATTCGCCCACCTCTGCCCAGAGCTGGAATGATATCGGTGATTCTGGTCTATTTGAGAACGATCGTTAACCGATATTGGCCCAAGACTGGGCCATGGTGCAAACATGAAACTGGGCCAATATTGCGAGCAATATCCCCCCGACGCTGGCCCAGAGTCGGCGTGCTGCCTGGGCATGCCATCATGTAAGTAACTTCGAAAACGCAACGTCAAGGCTTTCGGTGTCTTTCTTTCACCACATTCTACCCATCTCATCCAATTTAATGCGCAAAGGACACCGTGACAGTTCCTTTTTATCTGTGTGTATCTGTCCGTGTGGCGTTTAGCCTTTAACTACGCTCAGATTCAAGTTAAAATCATGTATAGGAAGGCCGCTTTCCTTAAAAAATCTGTAGTTAAATTCTTTTGAACTTCTGTCGACATTTTTTTTAAAAATCATATTGAAACTTTTTTAAAACTTTTTTAGGTTCCTTAGAGGTTATTTCGACAACCTGCTTAATTAATAAGATAAATTAAATTTTCCGAATTCATTTTAACACGAATTTTGTTGAATCCTTTTTGAAGTAACAGCAGAATAACGTTAAAAAAACCACTCAATTTTTATATATTGGATTTTGTTAGGCAATAGTGTCCCCGTGGTATTTATACATATGCACATCTACAAATACACATTAGAAACGAACACAAACATAAACACCATAAAGCACTCAAACAACAGAATCACAGTCCCGTTAGCTGCTCCAGAGCCTTATACAGCCTACACATTGAAGGTACTTATTGGGCCGGTTACCACCTCAGCACTTATTAAGGTTCCAAATGTCCGATCTCCTTCTCGGGAATATGAAAAGGGAAAAACAATGTTTCCAAGATCATGAACTCGATCTCTTACTAAAAGGCATCGGTACAACTAATAATCATTCGGCACTGTCACTAAAATAACATCCACAAAAACAGCTCCGAGAAGCAATGTCATCGCTTTTGAGTGTTTGCGGGCGAGAAAGAAAGGGGGAAGGAGGTTAGGTTAATTCGTTTTCGCGGTTTGTCCGGACGTAAAGCTAGGCACAGCGAACTTTTATGTTACGTCCGACGTAACCTTAATTTATTCTTGTTACGTCGGAGAGTGGCAGTGTATAGCGTTCCGCCTATACGCTGCCATAAAAATAAGAATTTTCCCATAGACCCATGTCGAGTTGAAGCAATTTTTTAATGTCTGTTAGGAGTGTTGTGTTACCAGCATGTTTTATTAAATAGAAACAGGAAATAGAACGAAAAAGGTCCTTCCTAATTTGCCCTTGTCCTCTTATTCTAAAAAAAAAAAAGAATCCTAGACTGAACGAAAAAGAAGTGCGAAGGAACTTACGAACGTTTTTAGAACTTTTACAGTTATGTAAACAGGAAAAAATCTATACAAAATGTATTTTCCCTTTCAATATTTTCAAGAAATGTGAGCTAATATTCTTCAAAACTCTCTTCCAACTTTTTATAAAATAATACAAAAAATCATTTACCCGAAAACATTTTTAGCTCTTTTTTTAATTGATTTAGAAAATAACCTACAAAAAAAATGTCAATACTACTTCTTTAATTTTGGTATAAATAAGACTACAAAAATTCATTAATTTTTCTTTTGAATATTTTTTACAATAATTAAAACCAAGTGCGTTTATCAAGAAATTCAGTAGGATTTTCCAGAAAGTCAATAAGAGCCTAAAAACAATTAAAAAAATATATAATGCTGAGGTCTGTTTCTGTGCGGGCTGCTAGCTTGGAACGGTCCAGTCAGCACTACCCTCGACTCGGCAGTGTGAAAAAGCAAAAAAATGACCGCATCTTCACGTAGTGAATGATGTTGATCGGGGCGAAGCTCTGGTGGTGATGATACGCTAAGCCGCAGCATGCCGAGCTTTTCGTTCGTTTTCATCCATGTCAGAAAGAGAATGTGTGGTATGGAACGTGGTTACATACGCATTTGAGCATTTGACCGCAGCGCCCTCTCGTCTATAAACGTTGAGCCAATGCATGCAAAGTTTAACGCGATTATATACGCATTTGACCGCAGCGCCCTCTCCTGTATAGACGTTGAGCGGCTACATGCAACGTTTCATCCATGACATCCCAAGCTCTTGAGTAACTACCACAGCTCACAGCCCCCTACTCCTCCCGTATTCGTGGCCGAGTGGTTAAGGCGATCCATTGGGGTCTCCCCGCACAGGTTCAAATCCTGTCGACTGCGCAAAAATTTTTTTCTTTTAGAGCGCAGCTCTTAGGCGCCCGTTCCCGGCTTGAGCGGCGTCGCCGTCGCCGTCGGCGTCGCCGTCGGCGTCGGCGTAACCGCGAGTAATCCTCGTAACCCTCGTGAGGGTTACGAGGGTTACAAAGGTTACCCTCACGAGGGTTACCCTCGTAACCCTCGTAACCCTCACGAGGGTTAGTTACCCTCAAAAGGGTTACCCTCACGAGGGTCACGAGGGTTATGAGAGTTACCCTCACGAGGGTTATGAGAGTTACCCTCACGAGGGTCACGAGAGTTACCCTCACGAGGGTCACGAGAGTTACCCTCACGAGGGTCACGAGAGTTACCCTCGCGAGGGTTACTAGGGTTACCCTCACGAGAGTCACGATGGTTACCCAGGGCACGTGACCCCCCTCCCAAGGTCACGTGACCCCCCCCGAGGTCACGTGACCCCCGTTGACGTCATCGCCCCTGATGACGTCATCAGTGACGTCACGGATGACGTCACTGGAATCCGCATCGTCATCGTCATCATCACTGATGACGTCATTAGTGACGTCACCGGCATCCGCATCGTCATCATCACTGATAATGTAACCAGTGACGTCACTGATGACGTGTCACGTGACCCCCCGCCATTCGAGGTCACTTTACCCACCCCCCAGTGCCCTTCCTTCCTCCTCCTCAAGAGCTGCGCTCTAATTCTGCGTTACAGGGAGTTGTAAACGGCTTTCATTTTTTTTAAGAAGACAGATGGGATGGCAATCGATGTGAGCACGGACGCCGGACGGACAAGGCTAGACCCTAAGGAGCTTCGGCCTTAAAAGTGAAGTTGAAAGAGTGTGCGAAGGAGAAGAAAACATATGTCGGTATTCAGGGGCCCTTAAGCTTCTAAGACGAACAAGGGCGGGCAAAATGGGGCTGCGCGAATCGCCATATCCTCAGAATTCCCGCCTAAACGTGTTACGTGCGTCTTTTTTTTTTTTTCGGCATCAAGATGTCTAACTTTTAACTAAGCAGACAACTCGATTCTCCAGCTGCGTCCCGACGAAAGGTTATTGTCGGACAGAATGTCCATTGAGACAAGGGAACCCGTTGTCGGCCCTGTCTCGAAGCGTGCGTCGGCGTCAGCAACATGCGGGCGAAAGGGAAGAACTCACCCCCGCGGGCACCAGGTATCCGGACAAGGTGACGTCGTGGTCGAGTTTTCGGAACACGCCCGGAGAGGGTTGGGTTGAGGCTGCAGGGCACAAGAGCGCTATCAAGAAAAGGACAAGCTCCGTGCTTCAGCGCCTGCAATTGCGGCGCATCCTCGGGTGAAATGAGCAGTCCAATAGAACCCCTTGAAAGCCGAGGACAAGTGTGCCCTTTTAGCTCCGAGAGTAGGATTTTCCGGTTTCCGGCACTCGATATTCCGGTTCCCGTGTTGGGCGGTCAACTTACAGGCGCGTGGTCGTTTAAACCGCGCGATGCGCCTCAAAGACCCGCGCAAGTAGCAAATACACCATCTTGTGAATTTTAGTCATTAAACCAGTCTCGCCAAACTTTATGCCTGGACCGACCTATTTAATGTATAAACACTCACAATGTCCAAACAGTACCCCTGCTAAGGGTAATAGATTTGAAATCTACGAGGTACGGTATTTTCGTTTTAACGGAGAATGTGTTACAATAAAAAATATGCGCGCTCCATGTGCAAGACCATGTTGTTGGCCATGCCCCCCCCCCCCCCCCCCCCCCCCCCCCCCCCCCCCACCAAATTCGAGCGCTGGTAGACGCAACGCTGACTGATGTGGAGCCTTTACTGGGACATCCGAGGAGCGAAGCAGAAGACTCCTTTCACTGTATGTGACAACCAACCTCGCAATTTACGATACGACATCAAGGCTGCGCCAGATTATTCATTAGCGCTGTAGATCGCACAAAACAGACAGCGCCTGTTGCAGGTTAAGAAAGTGGGACAAGGCCCTCACGCAGAGCCCGCTTATTTCAACCTGCAACAAACACAGCGTGAGGCTAGGCGCATCGCCAGCAATAAAACATGGTTAAAATTCGCGCACAAAGAGACGAGGACAAGCGGGGAAGAAACACACCAGCAAAAAAACCTAGTGACAAAATTGGAGCGTCGCCTTTGAGCTACGGACGTTTTGTGGGATCCGCGGGACAACGCAGTTTGGTTTCTGGGCTCATTTTTGACTCTTCATCGCGTCGACCCGGAACATTCACCGGGCCTCTCAGGGATACTCGCCGCCTCACCGCAGCGACTCTTTGACGCAGGCCTTGAGGAAGGGCAGCTGATTCAGGTGCTCGGGCTCCAGAGTTCGGGACTCGCTCCCGACCACGTCGAAGACCTCCCGCCGGGCCCGATTCTGGGCCTCGGGGTTTCGCCCCAGGTGGTACAGGCAGAACGTGACCGTGGATGACGTCTGCGAGGAGTAGCACATCATGGTAAATGCCTTAGAGGTCATAATAACACTTCTGCAAGATAGTCGTCCGCGGCACTTTCACGTCGGCAAAGCCGGTTTGGCGTGGATCCAAAGTACTAGCTCGGAATTAATCTAATGTACACTAATCGAACCTAGACTCACCCGGTTCACAGGTGGATGCTCTACGTATGCGCCATTTTCTTTCTTAACGCGCTCAGAATGAGGAGTTACAACTTGCCGACACTCTCCGTAGCTCATGGTGGTGATGTAGAGGATGATGTTGGCAATTGATACACAATACATGACCTTCGTCACTCCCCGACAATCTAATGTCTTCTAAACAATATTAAAAGATCGCTTCTCAAATATTGCATTCCAAGTATTATCAAATACCGTGGAGGCCAATACTGGCAACTCCCGTGCAGCGCAGGCGAAAAGTGATTGCAGCGCCCCTGGCGAGCTCGGAGTCTCCGCTAGCAGACGAATACCCCAAAATGCATTGGTTTTGCCTATCTGCGTGCGACGTGACCAATGAAAAAAACATTCTCACGGACATTCGCTGCTTTGAATGTTAAAAAATGGGTGCCACCTCATGAGTGAAGGACATTTTTTTCGCGTGGGAAAAAATGTTACAGCTTACTGGCTGCAATTTTGGGACTTCTCCCGAATAAAACATTCTGTCACAACTTATGTAAGCCAGGCAAAATACAAATTTATACCCTCGCGCTGTTTTTCTGAAAAAGGGCAATGTATAAACATTTCAGAACATAGCTTCGTTTTAATTTTATTGTTCTTATCAGTCGATTCGTTTTGTTGTTGCAATTTCCATTTCTCATGAATGTTTTGCTTATAACCGTTTCGTCGAATAGGCGAGCTGGCTAGCCCCGTTAAGATCGTCTACGGATGAAGAAGTAAAAGTCGATTTCGAACCACGTACACATCGCGACACTGTTAGCGCGAACAGTCGACAGGCGTCAGATTCGTACCGGTGGCGCCACCTAGCGGCCTCTGATGGCGAACCTCGCGCATGCGCAGAAACGTCATAGGGTTCGAGAGTATAACGACCTACTCCAAAACAATGTTCAGACCGGCTCATTTGAGGAACTTAAGTTTGTTTTTCTCGCGATTTTGTATTTTTATAGCGGCGCGCCGTCTGCATTCTAATAGACTGTCTCGTCTGCTTTCACGTTCTTCGTCCGCGCGCCCACCACGTCTGCGTTGTCGGTGTTTCCGTTCTGTGCGTCCTTACCAACGTCTGCTTCGGGTTCCGCCGCACTACTCCGAGGTGAATTTCGTCGAGGTGTCCGCGTCGGCCAGCAGTCGTAGGGGTTCTTTTGGCGTCCGCATCGGCATTTTCGGCTTGTCGGCGCAGTTTCTTGACGTCGCGTCTCTCCGAAGGGAATGTCGTCGAAGTGCTCGCGTCGGCCAGCGGTCGTAGGGGACTTCTTGGCGTCCGCATCGGCGTGTTCGGTTTATCGGCGCAGTTTCTTGACGTCGCGTCTCTCCGAAGGGAATGTCGTCGAAGTGCTCGCGTCGGCCAGCGGTCGTAGGGGACTTTTTGGCGTCCGCATCGGCGTTTTCAGTTTGTCGGCGCAGTTTCTTGACGTCGCGTCTCTCCGAAGGGAATGTCGTCGAAGTGCTCGCGTCGGCCAGCGGTCGTAGGGGACTTTTTGGCGTCCGCATCGGCGTTTTCGGTTTGTCGGCGCAGTTTCTTGACGTCGCGTCTCTCCCAAGGGAATGTCGTCGAAGTGCTCGCGTCGGCCAGCGGTCGTAGGGGACTTCTTGGCGTCCGCATCGGCGTGTTCGGTTTATCGGCGCAGTTTCTTGACGTCGCGTCTCTCCGAAGGGAATGTCGTCGAAGTGCTCGCGTCGGCCAGCGGTCGTAGGGGACTTTTTGGCGTCCGCATCGGCGTTTTCAGTTTGTCGGCGCAGTTTCTTGACGTCGCGTCTCTCCGAAGGGAATGTCGTCGAAGTGCTCGCGTCGGCCAGCGGTCGTAGGGGACTTTTTGGCGTCCGCATCGGCGTTTTCGGTTTGTCGGCGCAGTTTCTTGACGTCGCGTCTCTCCCAAGGGAATGTCGTCGAAGTGCTCGCGTCGGCCAGCGGTCGTAGGGGACTTTTTGGCGTCCGCATCGGCGTTTTCGGTTTGTCGGCGCAGTTTCTTGACGTCACGTCTCTCCGAAGGGAATGTCGTCGAAGTGCTCGCGTCGGCCAGCGGTCGTAGGGGACTTTTTGGCGTCCGCATCGGCGTTTTCAGTTTGTCGGCGCAGTTTCTTGACGTCGCGTCTCTCCCAAGGGAATGTCGTCGAAGTGCTCGCGTCGGCCAGCGGTCGTAGGGGACTTTTTGGCGTCCGCATCGGCGTTTTCGGTTTGTCGGCGCAGTTTCTTGACGTCGCGTCTCTCCGAAGGGAATGTCGTCGAAGTGCTCGCGTCGGCCAGCGGTCGTAGGGGACTTTTTGGCGTCCGCATCGGCGTTTTCGGTTTGTCGGCGCAGTTTCTTGACGTCGCGTCTCTCCCAAGGGAATGTCGTCGAAGTGCTCGCGTCGGCCAGCGGTCGTAGGGGACTTTTTGGCGTCCGCATCGGCGTTTTCGGTTTGTCGGCGCAGTTTCTTGACGTCGCGTCTCTCCGAAGGGAATGTCGTCGAAGTGCTCACGTCGGCCAGCGGTCGTAGGGGACTTTTTGGCGTCCGCATCGGCGTTTTCGGTTTGTCGGCGCAGTTTCTTGACGTCGCGTCTCTCCCAAGGGAATGTCGTCGAAGTGCTCGCGTCGGCCAGCGGTCGTAGGGGACTTTTTGGCGTCCGCATCGGCGTTTTCGGTTTGTCGGCGCAGTTTCTTGACGTCGCGTCTCTCCGAAGGGAATGTCGTCGAAGTGCTCACGTCGGCCAGCGGTCGTAGGGGACTTTTTGGCGTCCGCATCGGCGTTTTCGGTTTGTCGGCGCAGTTTCTTGACGTCGCGTCTCTCCCAAGGGAATGTCGTCGAAGTGCTCGCGTCGGCCAGCGGTCGTAGGGGACTTTTTGGCGTCCGCATCGGCGTTTTCGGTTTGTCGGCGCAGTTTCTTGACGTCACGTCTCTCCGAAGGGAATGTCGTCGAAGTGCTCGCGTCGGCCAGCGGTCGTAGGGGACTTTTTGGCGTCCGCATCGGCGTTTTCAGTTTATCGGCGCAGTTTCTTGACGTCGCGTCTCTCCGAAGGGAATGTCGTCGAAGTGCTCGCGTCGGCCAGCGGTCGTAGGGGACTTTTTGGCGTCCGCATCGGCGTTTTCGGTTTGTCGGCGCAGTTTCTTGACGTCGCGTCTCTCCGAAGGGAATGTCGTCGAAGTGCTCGCGTCGGCCAGCGGTCGTAGGGGACTTTTTGGCGTCCGCATCGGCGTTTTCGGTTTGTCGGCGCAGTTTCTTGACGTCGCGTCTCTCCCAAGGGAATGTCGTCGAAGTGCTCGCGTCGGCCAGCGGTCGTAGGGGACTTTTTGGCGTCCGCATCGGCGTTTTCGGTTTGTCGGCGCAGTTTCTTGACGTCGCGTCTCTCCGAAGGGAATGTCGTCGAAGTGCTCACGTCGGCCAGCGGTCGTAGGGGACTTTTTGGCGTCCGCATCGGCGTTTTCAGTTTGTCGGCGCAGTTTCTTGACGTCGCGTCTCTCCGAAGGGAATGTCGTCGAAGTGCTCGCGTCGGCCAGCGGTCGTAGGGGACTTTTTGGCGTCCGCATCGGCGTTTTCGGTTTGTCGGCGCAGTTTCTTGACGTCGCGTCTCTCCCAAGGGAATGTCGTCGAAGTGCTCGCGTCAGCCAGCGGTCGTAGGGGACTTTTTGGCGTCCGCATCGGCGTTTTCGGTTTGTCGGCGCAGTTTCTTGACGTCACGTCTCTCCGAAGGGAATGTCGTCGAAGTGCTCGCGTCGGCCAGCGGTCGTAGGGGACTTTTTGGCGTCCGCATCGGCGTTTTCGGTTTGTCGGCGCAGTTTCTTGACGTCACGTCTCTCCGAAGGGAATGTCGTCGAAGTGCTCGCGTCGGCCAGCGGTCGTAGGGGACTTTTTGGCGTCCGCATCGGCGTTTTCAGTTTGTGGGCGCAGTTTCTTGACGTCGCGTCTCTCCGAAGGGAATGTCGTCGAAGTGCTCGCGTCGGCCAGCGGTCGTAGGGGACTTTTTGGCGTCCGCATCGGCGTTTTCGGTTTGTCGGCGCAGTTTCTTGACGTCGCGTCTCTCCCAAGGGAATGTCGTCGAAGTTCTCGCGTCAGCCAGCGGTCGTAGGGGACTTTTTGGCGTCCGCATCGGCGTTTTCGGTTTGTCGGCGCAGTTTCTTGACGTCACGTCTCTCCGAAGGGAATGTCGTCGAAGTGCTCGCGTCGGCCAGCGGTCGTAGGGGACTTTTTGGCGTCCGCATCGGCGTTTTCGGTTTGTCGGCGCAGTTTCTTGACGTCACGTCTCTCCGAAGGGAATGTCGTCGAAGTGCTCGCGTCGGCCAGCGGTCGTAGGGGACTTTTTGGCGTCCGCATCGGCGTTTTCGGTTTGTCGGCGGAGTTTCTTGACGTCACGTCTCTCCGAAGGGAATGTCGTCGAAGTGCTCACGTCGGCCAGCGGTCGTAGGGGACTTTTTGGCGTCCGCATCGGCGTTTTCGGTTTGTCGGCGCAGTTTCTTGACGTCACGTCTCTCCGAAGGGAATGTCGTCGAAGTGCTCGCGTCAGCCAGCGGTCGTAGGGGACTTTTTGGCGTCCGCATCGGCGTTTTCGGTTTGTCGGCGCAGTTTCTTGACGTCACGTCTCTCCCAAGGGAATGTCGTCGAAGTGCTCGCGTCGGCCAGCGGTCGTAGGGGACTTTTTGGCGTCCGCATCGGCGTTTTCAGTTTGTCGGCGCAGTTTCTTGACGTCGCGTCTCTCCGAAGGGAATGTCGTCGAAGTGCTCGCGTCGGCCAGCGGTCGTAGGGGACTTTTTGGCGTCCGCATCGGCGTTTTCGGTTTGTCGGCGCAGTTTCTTGACGTCGCGTCTCTCCCAAGGGAATGTCGTCGAAGTGC